GTCATAATATATAGATTTGTGGATCTATTGTTAGACATAAATGAAAGGAGTTACCACTAATTTTTTTTGTTTATGTGTGATTGGTCATTTGCAACATATTTTGATATGTGAAAATAGTCGGTTAGCATGGAGAATGTTGTAGCATTCTTACTACGTTCATTCAAGGGATGGTATCAGTTTGATTTTAAATTATCCAAGCGTTGATCATTTTATGATTTACCAAATAATTTCATATTGAAAATATATATTGAAATTGTCTCAATAATTTGGTAGTAATTTAAGATAATATTTTTTTCTCAGGAGTATTCATAGAGACTAGTGTTTTATTCTAAAAAAGTTTCGTTGTCGGATTTATTAAAGTATTTTATTTAGTAAAATCTTTCAATAGTTTGATAAGACTTAATATGAAGCAATCATTCAATAGTTTAGAAGATAATTTTTTTCTTTGAAAATTAATTTATAAAATTTTTCAGTAGTTTAGTGGATTTCATAAATTTATTTTGTAAGGATTTTTGTTTGAAAAAGATTTTTTTGCCTTTTTTATTTTTATTGAAAGGATTTTATAAATTTTTTGAAAATTTTATTAGAAAAGCTTTTTTGTATTAAATCATTTTTCTTTCCTTTTTTACTTTCAGAAACAAAAATGACAGAAATAACTTTTTTTTAAAATAAAATAAAAATAAAATGGGTTAAAAATAAAATTAAATTAAAAATTAAAATTAAAATTAAAATTGAAAAAAGAAAACATACAATTGGGTTTGGTTGGAATGCGGGTCAACATGTGGGTTATTGGGTTAACGCGCGGATCTTGAGTATTCAAAAAGATGTTTTTGGTCAATATAAAAGGTAATTTTTAATTTTTTTCTCTGTTTTCTCACTCTACCTTCAATTTTCTCTATTTTTTCTTTAAAAATCTTTTAGGAACCCATTAGCAAATTCAATTGAAAATAAAAAATCTTATCGATTTTTTAAGATATCATTTGAAAATTCAATCAAAAATTAAAAATTTTATCGGTTTTTAAAAAATTGGAGGGAATGTGGTTGAAAAATTCAATTAATCATCGAAAATTTTATTAAAAAATTCATCCGAACGTAAAAATATTTAGAAAAATCTAGATTTCTTCAAATTTTTTTAGATTTCTTTCAATTTTTGTCTTAATTACTTCCAGAATTGTCCCAAACCTTAATTTTAATCCAGAAACTTAAAATCAAACCCATAATTTCAGATTGTAATCAAAATCTCTAAATTTAGCTCTTAGATTCGTTTTTGCCCAAAATTTCTTAAACTTTTTTCTCTAACAATTTTTTTGTATGTTCACCTTTTTTAAAGTCGATTGAATTTATAGGTAGTTTTAAGATCAATTTTAACAAACGGATAAAATCAATTTCAGGCTTGAATCTTGAGATTGTATTTTGTTTAGTGTGATTTTTGGTTCAAAATTTTAATCAATCACATTGATACAATTTTGTATTAACATTGATTGAAGGATTTTGGTCCTGATTCTTTTTTTCTGTTCATGTGCAAATTGGAACAAAAAAGGAAATAAGGAAAGAAAGAAAAAGAATGGGAATAATAATAATAATAATAATAATATATTAATCATATAGTAATAATAATAATAATAGTGACATTAATAATGGTACCATATAATATATACTATAATAACAAAAATATATAAGGAATTAGTTTGATTAGGTCCGAATATAAATGGGCATTTACAGTTGTCCTTATTTGTACATTTTTGTTAGATAGGGATGTTGTAAAGATTTAGACACTTATTTCATTCGAGTCAAATAAAAAATGATCCATGAATTTGAAAAATGATTTGGACTAAGCGAATATCAGATGATCGGAATAAAATCATAAGTCAAAATGAAGCAACAAAGACTGAGTTGAGAGCGAAAATAATCGAAGATAAAATCATAAATTATATGAAATGATCTGAATCGAGTCAAGATCAAGCGATTAAAATGAAATCACGAGTTAAAATAAAGCGATTAGGATCAAGTTGAGGTTGAAAATGATCTGGACGAAATCACGAATAATGAGAAATGATTTGGATTGAGTTAAGATCAAGTGATCGGATGAAATCAAGAGTCAAAATAAAGCGATCAAGATTGAATGAAAGTCGAAAATGATTGAGATGAAATCACGAATCATGAGAAATTATCTGAATTAAGTTAAGATCAAGTGATCAGAACGAAATCATGAGTCAAAATGAAGCGATTGGATCGAGTCGAGGTCAAAAATGATCAGGACGAAATTACGAGTTAAAAAATAGAGCAACCAAGATCGAGTCGAGGTTGAAAATGATCGGGATAAAATCATGTATCATAAGAAATGATCTAGATTGAGCTAAGATCAAATGATCGAGAGGAAATCACGAGTCAAAATAAAGTGTCCAGGATCGAGTCGAGGTAAAAAATGATAAGGATGAAACCATGAATCATGATAAGTGATTTGGATTAAGCCAAGATTAAATGATCGGGACGAAATCACGAGTTAAGATCGGGACGAAACCATGAATCAAGATCAAGTTGAGATCGAAAATGATCGAAACAAAATCATGAGTCAAAAAATGAAGTAATCAGGATCGAGTCGAGGTCGGAAATGAACGAGATGAATCATGAATCATAAAAAATGATCTGGACTGAGCCAAGATCAAATGATCTGGATGAAATCATGAGTTCAAATGAAGTAATCAAGACAAGTTGAGATAAAAAATGATCAGGATGAAATCACGACTCATGAGAAATGATTTGGATTGAGTCAATATCAAGTGAATGATGTAAATGCATGCGCTATTTAGGATGTAAATGAAACATTAATTATGGTACTAGGGCTTTTACATTCTCATTTCTGCACACTTTTGACAACGAAATTGTTTTTCATTAGCATGAATATTTATCTTTATCCCTAGAAAGGCTACAGAAGCTATTTTGTTCAATTTTTGGAGGAGTTCATCTTCAGTTCTTGTCTTCTTTGATCTTTCAAAGTAACACACACTTCTTATGATTTTGTTTAATTATTAATCATTATTTCAATTTGAAAGTGTGGGATGCAAATTATGTTATTCTTTCATTCATGGCAAGGCATAAAGAGAAAAGACAAATATATATTGGAAATGTATAGAACTAAGAGATAACAATAAGATGGCTTTTATTTATTTGGATAAGCAATAAATTACAAATGATGGTATAAAAATAAAAAAAATGTACAAGAGCGGCTATTTAGGGTAGCAATGCCTCAAGACAAATGATTAGATAATCATGACAACAAATCTTGAATTTTTTTCAAAAACTCAATTAAAATACGATGCGTCGATACTTCAAAACTTTTTGAAATTCATTGTCCTTAGTATACCTTTTAAGTGATGGCATATTCTATTCACTTGAGTTTGTTTTCATTTAATTCATGCTGCCTTTCAAGGTTTTCAACTTGAACTTTTTTATTTGAATCCAAGTCGCCTTTTTGAATTTTCAACTTGAATTTTTTTTTGTTCAAGTCATCCTTCCGATTTTCAACTCGAACTTTTTTTTTGTTCAAGTTGCTCTTTTGAGTTTTCAATTTAAACTTTTTTTTTTTTAGAATCAAGCAAAATACTTTTTCATTGCATCAAAATTAACAGCGTTAGGAAGTTCATCTCCTTTATTTTTGACAAGATTAAGGCTTCTCTTGAAAGAGCTTTTTTTAACCATATATGATTTTTCATAATTTAGAGTTTATTTTCGTCTATCATCATATTGACTTGGAAGGATTTTTTTCAATAGTAGTTTTTTTTTTTCAGAATTGACGTAGTTTGACCTTCTTGTCATAAGCTTTCATCATTTTTTTTGGTACAATTGGCCATGATAGAGTAATGTTAATTTTTTTTCTTCAATAAAGTTTAATTGTTTATAGCGCTTTCGGACTCATTTAACTTCTTTTAATCTTACTTTTCTTAAAACTCTTAGGGATAAGATATCTATTTCTATTCACAATACAGCTTTCATCTTATAAACCAAGAAAAAGAGAGTTGCCTCAATAGAAGTGCGCATAGAAGTTTGATACGTTTGTAGGGCAAAAGATAATTTCTCATGTCAGTTTTTGTATGTTTTTGTTATCTTTTTCAGAATCTTTTTGATGTTCTTATTTACAGCTTTCACTGTCTCATTCATTTTTGAGCGATATGGAGCTGAATTGTGATGTTTGATTTTGAATTAAATACATATTTCTTGCATCATCTTGCTATTTAGATTCTTTGCATTGTCTAAGATGATTTTTTTGAGAGTTCGTATTTACAAATTATTTCTCTTTTGATGAATTTATAGACCACTGATCTAATCACAGTTGTGATAGAGGTGATTTCAACCTATTTAGTGAAGTAATCAATCATAAAAAAAATGAATTTATTCTCATTTGAGGCTTTTGGTGTGATAAGACTAATGAAATCCATTTCCTACATAGAAAATGGTCAAGGTGATGCTATGACATGTAAAGCATTGGGTGGAGTATGAATCTTGTCAGCATAAATTTGGTATTTGTGACATTTTCTAGCATAATTAATGCAATCTTTTTTCATTGTCAACCAGTAATATTCAGTTTGCATAACTTGTTTTGTCATCATATGCCTATTTGCATATGCTTCACATACATTATTGTGAACTTCCTCATTAATCTTTTTGGCCTCAGAAGCACATACATAACGTAATAATACTTGATCTTTGTCTTTTTTGTACAAAATTTGTTCATCTAAAAAGAATATAATATTCAACTTTCTTAAAATTATTTTATCACTTTTTGTTGCTCGATTTGGATACTGTTGATTCTTTTAATATCGCATAATATCATGATATCAAGAGTGGGCATCTTTTTCCTCTTTTAAGCTTGGCACAATGTACTGGCATATCTTTGATATTTAGTTTGATAGGCTGAATTTTAATAGTATCACCATTTTGTACCATTATAGCTAAGGTAGTCAAGGCATTTGTAATTTGATTTTCTTCACGGGGCAAGTGTTCAAATTGAATTGCCTTGAATTGTTTACATAACTTTAAGATGTATTTGTGATAAAGGATGAGTTTTGAATACCTTGTTTTCCATTCATCTTTTAATTGATAAATGACTAGAGTTGAATCTTCGAACATTTTTAACATTTTAATTTTTTTATCCAAAGCAACATGTTGGCCCATAACATAAGCCTTATATTCAATTACATTATTGGTGCAATTGAAGTTCAATCTTGTTGTAACAGGATAGTAATGCTTTATTGGAGATATTAAGATTGCATTGATCCCATGCCTCATAGCATTGGCGGTCCCATCGAAATACATTCTCCATATCTTTTCCTTGCTGTTATCTTCTTTTATCCTTGAGATGGCCATTAATTCATCATTTGAAAAATTCAGCTTCATAGGTTTGTAATCATCAATAGCTCTATCTGTTAAAAATTTAGCAATAATATTTCTTTTGATTGCTTTTTAGCTCACATACATTGTCGTATCATGAAAATATCACTTGTCATCTTGCGATTATTCTTGATAATGATGGCTTCTTGAAGACGTATTTTATAGAATCCAATTTACCTATATAGTAAAGCATATATTGCTTGAGTCTTTTAGTTGTCCAAGCTAAAGCATAACATATTTTCTCTAGTGATGAATACTTAGAATTATATTCTGTGAATTTTTTGCTCATGTAATAAATAGCTTTCTCTTTCTTATCGATTTCATCTTGTTAGCCTAACACATATCTCATTGATCTCTCATGTACCACTATATATAGAATCAATGATTTTTCCAAAACATGGGATATTAATATTAGAGGATTTGATAAGTATTATTTAATCTTATCGAAAGCTTTTGGACATTGTTCATTCCACTCCTCAAGATTATTCTTTCGAAAGAGTTTGAAAATGGGGTCACATTTAAGAGTGAGTTAAAAAATGAATAAAAAAATATAGTTTAATTTGTTTAAGAAGCCTCAAACCTTTTTTTGTGTGCTTGGGGGGGGATAAATGCTGAATTGTTTAAATTTTATTCGGATCAACTTTTATTTCTCTTTCACTGATTATAAATCTCAGTAATTTATTTGATCTGGCTTCGAATGTATATTTAGCTGGATTTAGTTTGAGTTAAAATTTTTTTAATCTTTTAAATAATTTTCTAAGATTGACTACATGATCCTCTCTTTTTAAAAATTTAGTAATCATGTTATCGACATATACTTCAATCTCTTTATACATCATATCATAAAAGAGGGTCACCATAGTTATTTGATAAGTGGCCCCAATATTCTTTAGCCTAAAGAGCATGACCTTGTAGCAAAATATTTTTCACATAATAATAAATATGGTTTTTTTCATATCATCTCAGGTTATTTTTATTTGATTGTAATCGAAAAATTCATCCATAAAAGAAAACACTGAATGTCGGGTTGTATTATTCACCATTGTATTTATGTGAGACAGAAAAATTATCCTTTAGAGTAACTCTATTTAGATCTCGATAGTTTTTATATATTCGTACTTTTTTTAAATATCTTTTTTGGGGATAAATACTATATTAGCTACTCATTCAGGATATTTAGTCACTTGCAAAAAGTTTGCATGAAATTACTTTTTAACTTTCTCTTTGATTTTCAATAGCATAACTGATTTTATTCTTCTTAGCTTTGCTATATCGAATTGCATTTTAGCTTCAATGGTAGCCTATGCTTCATTATTTTCAATGTTGAGTCCAAGCATATCTTGGTAGGAGCAAGCAATTACATTCACAAACTATCGGAACAAATCTTTTAATCGCTGTCAATCAATCGCTGAGAGTGAAATATCAATTTTGACTTTTTTCTTGTTTTCGGCATCACACAAATTGATCAATTCAACAACTTTTTAATGAGGATTAATGGATTTATCTTATTGTTCAATTAGCCTCATTAAATTTGGAGATTGTATTTCTTAGAATTTTTTTTAGTATTAAGTTCATTGGTATTGATTAAATTTTTAAAGTTATACTTTGGATCATTGTCATGATTACCTTCGCATTCATTTGGGATCCTGAAAGTTAATGAAATAGGAAATATTGGCAAGAAACTTTGATCCACCATATAATGAATGGAATGGAAGAAATGAACAAAATGCATGCTTCTACTTTTATTGACATAATGAAAAATAAAAGACTTAAACATAAGAAAAATAAAAAATAATAGACATCTGGATGACCCTTCAATTCTGCAATTCATATCCAAGTGGGCAGGGGTAGACCAAAACTTTCTCGTTTTGACTTTCATTATCCCTCATATAAATGGACAGCTTGGCAAAAGCTTTTTTTCATTTTGGTTTTTCTTTTATGTTCTCTTCAGCTCCTTGGTGTATTTATCTTCCAGGAATGAAAGTTTTACTCAAATGAGAAAAGATCATCGATTTTTTCTTTACATTTTTGTTGTTGTTTTACATTTTTTTTGTCTTATAACCTAACTTTGATCTACAACTGTAATCCTATATCTTAGAATGCTCTCTTATCCCTTGAAGGTTTTTGTTTAAACCAAACCTAACACTGTAACCTTTGTTAATAATCTAATTGATCACAATGTGGTTGAACTTGAGTCTTTCACCAACTACATTAACAGGTTTAAAAGATCTATAAGAACATTCTAATGAATCTTCTGTTGCTTTCACATATGGGGCATTTATAAGTTAAGTTACCAATAGATCTTTTTATCTAGCCACAATCACCAATTGTCTTTTTACATTGAATTTGATCTTTTGATATAGTGAAGAGGGGACGGCACCTGTTTTATGGATTCATGCTCTTCCTAATAAACAACTATATGATGGGGATATATCCATGACTTGAAATTTTATGTTGAAGACACACGGCCCAATTTGTATGAGAAACTCAACATTTTTCAAGACTTGTCATCCAGTTTCATCAAATGCTTGGACCACCATCTGATTGTCTTGAATATGGGACATATCAAAGGGCAGCTTAGCCAAAGTGGACACAGGTATAACATTAATAGTTGACCCGTTATCAATGAGGACCTTCGTTACTATGTGGCTTTTACATTTAACAGTGATGTGTAATGCCATGGTGTTTTATTTACCATTAAGTGAAATTTCATCATTATTAAAAGAGATGTGATGTGATACTACTAGATTCCTTACCAAGTGATTCACATACTTCATAGATACATTATGGGTCACATAAGCCTTGGCTAGCATCTTATTTAGTTGCTCCACCATAGAGTATTCACTATGTTTTACTAGTTTTAAAAACTCACAGCTTTTTTTTCAAGCATAGACCTCGGGGTGTCTTTCTCTGGAATCTTTGGTTTAGTTTGCTTCTCTTTTTCTTTTTCCTAAGTTGCTTGAGTATAACATCTTTCACTTTTAGTTATGCCTCCTACATCTGTTATATTGGCAGTTTCAACTTTCGATATACCTTTTTGTTACTTTTGAGTCATTACTTCACACTCATATCTTTAAGGCATTACTTTTTCATCTTTATGGGAAAATGAACATGGGATTCTGAAAGCTACTGGTTTAGGAACAAATTTATTCTTAGCTGATTGTGGCTTTTTCTTACAACATTTGGTGATAGGTTTCGACACCCATTTATTTGTCATAGTGACCCTCAATGTTTTTTTAGGCTCTTGATTCTTTATAGAACTCTATTTGGTAAGAGTCAATCAGCTTTTTAACTTTATCATGGAATTACTTGCAAATGTCAATTGAGTGTCTTGGAGCCTCGTTGTGATATTTACATATTTGATTTGGGATACATCTTCTCATATAAATGCATGGAGCTACTAGTGTATCTCTCAGCTTTACATAAGATTTCATATAACTGGTTAAATGGCATCTTAAGCTCTTTTACTTTTTTTTCACATGTTTTTCACCTGTATCCAAAGCATTGACTGTATGATTGGGCAAAAGATTTTCGTTGACATTGGGTACTGAACTTTCACTAGTATCAAAGCTTATCTATCCCTCATTGATTAGACTTTGCACCTTATGCTGAAAACGCACATAATTCTCAATAGAGTGTCCTGTTATTTCATAATGATAATCACAATGAGTATTGGAATCATACCATTTAGGGTAAAAGGGTTCAAGCTGTTTAGCAGAGACAGGAGCAATGAGGTGATTCTTGTAGAGTTCTTGGTATAGCTCGGTGTAACTTATAGGGATAGGGTCAAATGTAGGTTTTTTCCAAGTTCGAGGCTCTCAAGCACTACTTGTTGCACCGACTGAGTGAGCTAGTGATCATGGTGAAAATGGATAAGAAAGTCATGTAATCGGTTGATAGGCAGAGGTATGACTTACTGTGTGATGGTATGTGGGATAGATTGGTTGAGAATAACTTATGAATTACTGTCTTTCAAGATTCCCAACCTGAGCCTCTTTTTTTTTTCTTATTTGCTCTTTTAGAAGGTTTTCTTATTTTAAGCTTATCATTTTTAATGACATTTTTAATGCTCTCTCGTGAAATCACTATATCAACAAAGTTCTTAGTTGCATTTCCTTTCATCCTTTCATAATATTATGCATTTAAAAGTATTAAACAGCTTGATATTTTCTCATCAAAAGATTATCACTTGAGTTACATACATCATTATTTAACTATATTGCTTGAAGATTTAATGATTTTCTTTTCATTGCTTGGCAAAGAAGACAGTTGAGCCATTGATAATTCATTCTGATTGATATATAAATCTTTTCATTTTTTACTCTTTAATTGGACATTCCAACTCACTATGATCTAGATTAAACTTCTTGAAAACTCATGATAGTTTCTCATTAATCATTTGATCTCATTCAAAATATTTGTATATGTGATTTTATCATCATATTTTTCAAACTCTAGACTAATTTAGTGGTATTTAATTGATATGGAAAGTATACTCATATTTAATGATCATAAAATCTAATCATTTTTTTATGCTCAGATCTATCCTGATTAGTTTTAGAACTTCTTAATGGCACAGCTGTCTGTAGTTTCTTTTTATTCTTTACTTTAGTTGCAATAAAAAAGTTGAATGGGTTTAGTTATCTTTTTAGCATAAACAGAATTGTCATAACTTTGGACGTTTGTAGACACCGATTTTGTTCGGGTCTACTGTTTCCATTTTAAATATATTAATAATAATAAATAATAAATATTTAAAATATATAATAATTAAAAAATTAAAAAATTTAAATTAAAAATTAAATTAAATTAAAAAAAAAAAGGAAATGAGACAGAAACCAGGGGTTGGTACGGCGTCACTGTCGTCCTTGTCAGCCTCCCAACCAGCCTCCTATCAGCCTCTTGACCAGCCCCCTGACTAGCTCCCTTTCAACCCACCTACAGCCACCATACAGTCACCTAAATCCCCCTAATTAAAGCCCTTTAAAATCCCTAGCCATTTCCCCTTCAATCTCTTTCGGCTCTCTAACAAAAAAAGAAGAAAACCCATTCGATCTACCCATGAAAACCCTCGAACTTAGACGAACTCTTCTCTTCTCAAAACACCCTCAACAACATCAGACAGACCCCAATTTCGACGTAAAAAGAAAAATCAAACTTCAAATACCCCATAAAATACCCAAACCGAAAACAAAACAGTTCTAGCCAAAGAAAACAGAAACAAAAAAAACAACACAGTCCTCCCTGCAGGGAGGAACCTCAGCATCAAGCTACCTGCAAGAAAAAAGATATATCAATTTTTGTTCATAAAAAAAAAAAAGAGAAACGATGAGAGATCCGAAACTTTGAAAATAGATTCGCGACGGTCAAGCCACTTTCAGGCCAAACGAAGGTCGGATCTGGAAAAAAGATGTCCAGAGGAATTGTTGGTGACTTTTTGACCATTTTTCGACCATCGATGACCACCGTCAACGGTGAATCACACGATGGTCGGCGTAGGCACGGCACTGAATTTTGGTGAGACCGGAGACCCCTCCTTCAAGAGTTTTTTTTCTGTGAAACCAAATAGATTGAGGAAAAAAAATCTGACTTTTATAGAAAACATAAGACCAAAACAATGTCGTTTTGAGCGTAGGATCAAAACGACGTCGTTCCAAGTGTAGAGGATCTGCGCGTGGACCAAACCCGATCTGAGATCCGCGTAACCCAACCCGACAACTGGCTTCAACCAGCCTTGAACCGGTTTAGACGAACTGTCAGTGAATCGAGTTGAATCGCTGGTCACCCGAATCGTTGAACCGGTCAAATCGCCTGAACAGTCGAACCGATCAGATCTACTGAACCGTCAAACTGGTTAGATCGCCCGAATCAGCGTTGATCGATCCGATTTAGGTAAAAAAAATTTTTTTTTTCTAAATTTTTTTTATGTTATTATTTTTGTTATTTTATAATTATGTATGATAAATGTTTAAATTTATTAGGATAAATATCTAATTGTTATTAATAATAATAAAATAAAAATAATATAAAATAAAAAAATTAAAAAATATGTTGAAAATGCTTAAATAATAATAATAAAAATGAAATAAGCTTTTTATTTTTCCTGCCTAGATATTGGAGGGAATAAAAAATATTTTTTCAAACAAATAATTTCGCCTAGATGTTGGAGGGAATAAAAAATATTTTTTCAAACAAATAATTCTGCTTAGAGGTTGGAGAATTATTATGAATAAATTTTCATAAAAAAAAACACAAGAAATTTTTAATTAGTTTTCAAAAATTATAAAAAGAATTGAACTTGCTCTGAAAGTTCACCTAAATGATGAAGATTTTTAGAGATGTTCGTGTTTTACTTAAACCCTAAAATTTCACCTTAAATCTATTACAAAACTTTAAGGACACGTGTGAAAGTCTCGCATGAGATGGTTTGTTCCTGAATGCTGCCTAAATGATGCGGTATTTAGGAAACTTCATTTCATTAAGTTTTTCACACTGAGTTCCTAATTCACATTAACAATAAGATTAATAAATAAAAAGTATAATAAAATTGAGATCTTAAATATAAATAGTTACACCGAAGCTCTGCCTAGATATTGGAGAGTGGGGATTGGTCTCATTATACTTAAGAATTCAACTCTTAAATTGCATTTTATATGACATTCATTAGCATACATACGTTAGCATGTTATTATTGAT